TAGAGCGACGCCATCGGATAGCTGGGAGCGCTAGGGTTCATCTCGGAGCGCGCCACGGACGACCAGGAAGTAACGGGAACCGGTTCAAAGCCCGGAGAACGTTAAAGAGCAGCCCACGGAAAGCTCTAAGAGGAGCGGGAGTGAAGTCCAGCACAGGCCCCCGAGAAACGGACCCCGACCGGCCAACGTGATCCAAACACTGTGCGTATAAACACCCTCCGGACGCCCCCACCGGCTCCCCCGCTGCGCGGATTTCACTATAAAAACGAACAAAAAATATTTTTAAGAGTTTTTTTTCTAATTTTTAATTTTTTTTTTTTTTTTTTTTTTTTTTTAATAAGGTGTGCCGAGGCTAGCTCCGGAGCACACACTCACTCACACCGCACTAACAGCCGGGGTTTAGGGGAAGGATCGCAGAGCAGCGCACTGCTACATATACCCTCGCATACGTCACCGGAACGAAGGACCCCGCTTTATGACGGTAGGGGGGGAAGCGGAAGAGGCGTTCCTTCTGCTGTCATCGCCACAGCTACTGGCTAAAACGATTGAATTCTGAAATTTGGACCAATAACATTTGCGAACAAAACATTCGACTAACCATCAATCAAACAGCAGAAGACAGAGGAGTGGAGCCAACGAGGATGTCTTGGACCTGTAGAGGCTCGCGCTGGGGGCGTATGCGAATAACAGGGATAGAAATGCTGTTCATACACATTGTCGTCTACCATGTCCAAACCTGACGCATTATTACCATAATAATCTTATTTTTTAATTGCTAACCTAGCTGCCATGCTATAAGCGAAATTTGCTAAACGTCTATTGCGGTTACATTCATTATTTCAAATTTACCTCGCGATTCTACACTATTTTATGCCTGTAGTCAGCGGTTACAGATAGACTATTTAATAGAGGCCCCACTATTAGAGAAGCAGAAAGTATCTAATGTGTGCCCCTCAGTAAAACCATCCCTTATTAACAGCAGATCTCATTGACAAACATAATAATGTGGGAAGCGCCCTTCAGGCCCGAAGTTGTTATTTTAATATCACATATAAAAAAAAACAATAGGTCATGTCTCTGTAAATAAAAAGTCCAACGGTGTCAATGTACTGATTTAACTTAAAGCACTTAGGTTGGCAGACAAAGTTTATGTAAGGCTTGCATAAGCAGAATGGTGTCCGACGAGAAATGTAAATCACGTGGTTGTGGGCCGGGCCTGGGAGTGAAGTGCGAGATTAGCATCTCTAACCGCGTGTGTATTGTCGCAATATTAGGGTTGCCAACTGTGGTCAGCTGGCTGGAGTAAGATTTTCAATTCGAGACAAGTCTGCACACACATGCACACGCATTTACATGTTTTATTACCTTGTAAACAGTCTGTAAGGCCTGCAAACTACCCCAGGTTAACTTTATAATGCAACAATACAAATACGCTGGAAGATTTTTGCGTGAGCGTGAGAGTCTGAAAGCGTGAGTATCACGCCAGATGCGTGACAAATGACAACCCTGTAATTTAGACGTGACTCCATGTCTGAATACCACTGGAACCAGTTTCCCGTCTATATGCGATAGCTTCTCGTGGGGGGCACACACAGATGCTGTCAAAATGTTTGTTAATAAAGTTCCCATGCGTCATGGTCGTATGCATTATACGCATTTAGGTAGCTTTGAAACATACAGTGGACAAGCGGGTAGAGAAAATGGATGGCTGTAATGCAAACTTAAAATGTAGGCGGTATCTTTAACTGCAGGGGGCAGTATTGACAAACATGCACAAAAACTAATATATTAACATTTATTGAAATAGCCACATATTTAATCATCTATTTCATTTGTAAAGAGCAACATACATGTTAGCTTAGCATTTTATAAGAAAGGGAAATGTTACACAAGTGGGTGTGGATAGTGTGGTTTGTTTGCAAAGCCGGTTAAGCCCCTGTACCTGGGAATTGTCACATATCCGTTGGGCCCTTAAGTGAGGCCCTAAGCCCAAAAAAATGCTCCAGGGGTGTCAGATAAAAGCTTTGCTGTAACTTGTGTGTCTCAGAGGAAAGCAAGATGGGATTTGAGAAACCTACCAATGTACATGCGTGTGGACTGCAAAGAATAAAAGGTTTAATGTAACAATAATAGCGTCAAACATATTAAAAGTGGAACACTTAAACTAAACATTTATATAGTGGTGACCTTAAAAGTTAGTGGTTTGTAGGTATAACATGAATGGGAAGAAGGTCTCCAGTAACTGATTTTGAAGCTAAACTCCAGTGCAATGGCAAGATAAGCATTTGCATCCTTGTTAATTTACCAGCACACAAGCTCTGAATTCAGTATCCCCTGAATTCAGCAAGTTTTTTCCCCCCCACCATTCCATACTTACAAGGACAACATACACATGTTGGTCTAAATCTTCGTTGCCTCAGTGAAGAGTCCAGTTAATGAAAGCAGGACACAAAATGTGTCAGATGTAAGTTCTGCCAAACTGCCCGGATAAAGACTGATGTTTTTAGGGATGAGTGTGTTTCGTGGGAGTGAGTGAACAGTGAACCTTGTTAGTGTAAAATGTGGTCGAAATCCAGACTTGTGGTGTAGGGAAGAGGAAGACAGCTCTTAGGCACAAATAGTGCTGGGGAGTAAATGGCATCATGTGCCAGGAAGCACATGATGTCACTTAGGCTATTTGCAGAGAGCAGCATCACCCTGGTGACGTAGATGGGCTTCAGAGTTAGGCTGGGATTTTGTGTTTAGGGCACAAGGAGAGAGCTTCCTGACCTAGACTTAGCCCACGTTGGCTCACTCAGAGGGACTTTCAAAGTGGTAAAGAACCCAAATACCGTCCTGTATGTCACCCAGGGAACCATATTCAGGAAGCAGGGTGACATTGCCAGTGTGACCTCCAAGTTAATCCAGTTTAGTTTATGGTGGAAACAGGATCAGAGAAAGAAGCGGGTCTGCAGTTAGTGGCCCAGTTTTAGCACAGCTGAAATGATGAATTTAAAAACTGTAATTCACTGCAACGTAAAGACCAACTCCCTAGTACATTCTGTAGACTATGGTTTGACAAGGGCTGATTCTCACTCACTCACTTCTCCATATGATTCTGCCCCAGGAGGGGGGGGGGGCAGATATCCCTCCTGCAAACATTCCTCAGCTGTTAGTCTCCTGTCTCCTAGGTTATACACAGTGCTGGGGGCAAGGAGCTGTTGACACACCCAGTTGCAATGAAGGGGTCATTTCCTAAGATTCCAGGCCAGATTTCTCTAGTGTCACACTCTCTTGAGATTAAACTGTCTTCTTGAATAGTGCTGCACTTGAAAAATTATGCAAAAAGGACAAGTTTAGTCAGCTTTTCTGACAGGAGAGTTCAGTGACTCATCCAATAAAAAAACACCTTCAAAGGATTAGCTTTTAAGTCCAGGTATATAAACTGCACAATGATGTAGGACCTGATTGGGATGATTAATAACGCTGTGCGTGTACGTACATGTGAGGTGCATGCAAGGTGTGCTGCAGCCTTTCTGCGTCCTTGGTGTTGACTGACTTGCTGTGACCCTCAGCAATGTTGTCTACTTGGCTGTAGCACACTGAGTCATGGCTGTGATTCACTGGGCAGGTGGAACACATCGGGACGACAGGCAGACTTTCACTGTGCTCACCACGTCCAAACCCAAAACTGTCCTTCAAAACCTTTCGTCAGCAAGACTTTAAAGATGCACTTCTCAAGCAATCTCTTTTGTTTTAAAAAAAAAAAGCCAAAATCCAAAAGCATATGATTTGTACATTTTCATTTGCAGAATAGTATAAAAAGAAACTGCTCAATTTAGCTTTAGTTCTGGGGCTGACCTAAAAGGCAGACTATTGTATAACTCCCTGTTTTCACTGCACACTGTGGCCTTCTTACACATACTGTTAGTGGTAAAAACAAATCTGCCGGCTGCAAGCACAGTCACACATGTGAAGCTTCACTCACCATAACAAGGTAGAGCAGCACTATAGGGCAGTGTTTCCCAATCCGGTCCTCGGGGACCCACAGACAGTTCACGTTTTTGCAAGGGAGCAAAAATGTAGACAGACTGGCAGGGAGCAAAAACATGGACCGACTGTGGGTCCCCAAGGAACGGATTGGGAAAACACTGCTATAGAGGACCTGTCTCCTGTGCTACAATGACCTCTCCAGCTTAGCACGTCCTGTTCACCAGAGCCACCCTGAAGTGGAGCAGAGCCACGTGAGGCAGGTGCAGCGATGTGTCTCGTGACTGTGGAAGGACTTTCACATAACCGTCTGCTCATGATGCCATTACATAAAGTCACCGTGTCCCCAGGGATGCGCGATGACACCAGAGCCGCCGGATCCTACATCACAGGAAGCTGACAGACATTTTTAAGTATTTTATTCCACTTACATGAAATGACATTTTCCCCTCCAAACAACAATTATACTTGGGTGAAATTTCCAAAGACATGAAAGATAGCCACCCCCGACAGCAAGGTCCCTCTCCTCCCATGAAATTCTCTTGGTCACATGCGACAGGCAAGTATCAAAATAGGAGATAAAGGAGAATGCGATAAAACCCTAGTAGGAAAGAGGAGTTGCTATTTCACTGCTCTGCCCGATACACATTAAGATGCAGCATCAAAGCCCATTGACTGCTTGCTTTGTTATTTTTTTTAATCTCGCAAATCGTTACACAAATCTTAAAAAGTCACTTAAGGGTCACCTAAGAAGAGCAGACTTCAATAAAATGGAATGTCATTTTTTTCCTGCCTACAGCGTCCATCTCACTCGATGCTCCTCCTGCCTGCTTCCTATTTCCAGGCTCAACCCCATACCCTGGTTGCACCACGACCCACCCACTGAACTACACATGCCAGACACTCAGAATGTTTCACCTATACGGAACGTACATATACAGTAAGCTAGCTATGCCTGCTGCCCCCCCCCCCCCCGCCCACCGCGTGCGATCGGCCCCCCCCCCGGAACCCCGCA